GGAGGGATTATTTAATTAAAATCAAATTTCAATTAAATATCAAATTAAAGTCCAACTCTAATTTCAAAACTTAAGGCGATTGAATTTAATTAAAATCAACTTTTAATTAAATAACAAAATTAGAGTCTAACTCTAATTCCAATATTTAGGGCGAAATTATTTAATTAAAATCAAATTTTAATTAAATGTAAAATTAGAATCCAATTCTAATTACAAGAATATATTTGGGTGAATAACCGATTAAAATCAAATTTTAATTAAGCATTAAATTAAAGTCAAACTTTAATTTAAATTGAATTAATATTTTAATATAGGATAATACTCCTAAATGAAATAAAAATTCAATTGGGTCAAAGTTTAATGTTTAAGTCAAAATCCAATTTTAACGAAAATATAAAATGTCGTCAATTTTTTTTTAAATAAGATTTTAATTTGAGTAAAAATTAAAACTTTAGTCAAAATAGGTCAAAACCCATTTGAAATACAATTTTAAAACCATTTTAAAATTCAAATTCAAAACCATTTTGAAACTTGCAAATTGACCCATTTTAAAATTATAAACAGGACCTCCAATTTCTTTAAATTATAAAAGGGCCCTTTTGGTTATTTACAGACCCCGGTAGTGGGCTTGCAAGCAAGGGTCCTCAATATCAACCTTTTGCAAAATAACCATTATTTTAAAATTTTAACAAATGGACCCCCAACATCATATTGCAGTCGGGCCCCCACAATTACATTAATTGCAGAGAAAACCCCCGTCTCCACCAACCTTCTCACCCGATTTTAGAAACCCTAAAATTCAAATTCTTTTTTATTTTATTTTCTTTTACTTCTTCTGGCGGCGTCACAACAATGTGGCACCACCACAGCCCACAGCAGGAGCCGCCTGGCGTGGCGGCTCCTACAGCATCAGCAGCGGCAGACGCAGCTGCTGCCGCTGTCGCACCGACAGCCAACAGTCGAGTTGCCGTCGCCGGCAACAACTGTTGCTGCCAGCATCCCACGCCTTTTTCTCTTTTTTTGTTTTAATTATATATATTCCAATCCTAAAATATTATTTTCTTTCTCAAAACCAATTTTGAATGCGAAAATTAATTTTCTTAATTGCTAGAAACATGAAAAACAATAACAATCAAAGTTCAATTCCTAACAAACACAAAGTAGGTTCTGATACCACTGTTGAGAATTTACTTATACATGCACAGCGGAATTTAAAATAATTTTCGATTCCCATCAAGAATCGTTTTGTGTTTAAATAGAAATTGTGATAAGATTGTACGTTTTCCAGATTTGCAAACTTCTTTGCTATTCTTTTCGTTCCAGCAATCTTGATTCGTCATCCACAGCTGTCCAATTGTTCGGCCTCCAACGATAATCCACACAGAGAACAAGATTGCAGCTACCAGGGTTTTTTCTCTTGTGCCAGCAAGAATAATGAAAACCATATGAACCTCAAACCTTAGTCATGTATTTATATAAACTCAAACGGGCTCGATCCGGTCCGGTCCAATATTTAATTAATCCAATTAATTAAACCCGGTCCGTAAATTAATTAATCCAATTAATTAATTTATCCAACGATTGTTAAATTGACCAATTAGCAATTTGCAATCTTCAAATTCTCTTTTGTGTGCGACCCATTAGGTTCCCGACCACGATGCCTAACGACGTGAAATATTATTTTGATCTAATCAAAATTGATAAATTAAAACACCATTTTAATTTATCGTCAATTCACACTCGCTATCCCTGATTGACATCTAACAATGTGTCAGGGCAATACATGTGGCAGGAAATGTCACGTGGTATGACAAAACCAAACTCGTTCGTGTACCGTGAAACTATAATCCCTTCGTCAATATGATCCGATCAATTACGAGATACGGAAGTGTATCAATCTCGATTATCGATCATATCTTTCACTATACTATTAAGTCAATATAAGTCGAAAACTCCTTTTCGACTTATGAGTACACCTTGACCAAGGATTTCATCATCGACTTAATTGAATGAAACGCGGATCATAATCTCCTACTATCTAAGAGTGACGAATCCTTTATTGATCAATCACAACCTTCATACGATTCTTGACGTACCCGAACGATATCGTATTAGCGGCCATTTGCAGAGCAACATCCAACACCGCCAAAGTATGACTGTCCTCATATAAGGTACCATGACGACCTTAAGTCAAAGGATCAATTCCACTACCGAACGTTAGAGATTAACCACTGACACTTAAATAGTCATCCATGTGGAATCTCTCTGCGGGTCTCCAATGTTTTGTTCTATAACAAAACATCCACGTGTTCATTTAAGTGTCACCACACTTTAGTTTGCGAGATCAGCTACTTACTTCACAAATAAGAAATGCAACACGTGATGGTCTATCCGTAATAACGATATCCGTAGCTCGTTATCACTGACGACCACGGACGATTTAAGATTCAATCGGATGTAATTTGTATCTCACAATCACAACTCTTTGTGATTGACAAATTACGAAAATTTGAATCTACAGATTCTATTATTTATTTAATCGTCTATTAATTAAATAATAGATCTGCCATTAAATTGTATTAATTATATATCAAAAGTATTTATGTCCAAAGTTGATTGGATTTAGGGCATAATACTTATAGCAACTTCTATCAATAAAGTGTGATGTGACTACCATATAATTGATGTCCAACAATCAGTGATTAAAGAAGTCTTTTGTCCATCATTAATAAATTTAATCCTCAATGATTTATTTGTTTCATGATAGAGATGGAGCACATCTTTAGTAATCGTTTGAGAGAAGGAACCTCAAATCTAGGACAAAATTGTTACACAAATTCCTTAAAACCCACACCTTCCACAAAGAAAAAAGACAATTCATCAATAACAATCATCTTAACCAATGCTTTTCTAAACTTTTCTTTATCAAACACCACAGTCATAATACCACCATCACTGTTTTCTCGAGTCAGTATTGCTTGTTTTTCATTAACCGTAGTGTACTTATAAACATAACACGCTTTTAAATGCTTCCCCACGGTAGAAGTTCCAGAAGTAGAAATAGTCTTAAATATTCTGCCACAATAATTACATTTTTTTCTCTTTCTCTTATTGAAATGATTCCATATTTCTAACCTTTCTTTAGGCTGTTTTGGTCTTCCATTTGAGCATCCATAATTGGTATCACCTTAACTAGCAAGTTGATTAAATTTTGCACAAACAATGCGGAATAGGATTTTATCAAGATATACAGGGTAACATAAAATGAAAACATAATTTTATCAAGATATATAAGGTAACTTTCTACAAGATTTGAGCCTTCTGGACTGGTCATCTTGATATCTATGTGTAAACGAATCATAGAATGATAAATGGCCAGATACCAGCAGCTAAAGAAAGTGAAAATCAAAACACAATGGCTAGAGTTTCTATTTAAACTATGACCAGCAAACTGCGAACCAGTAATGACAAACGATAGTCTACTAAAATAAAAAAAAAAAAATAGATGTTGTGAAACAGTCCACCATAGGGAAATCAAAGACATTTCATTAGGGAAGCTTACAACCCACCTCGTTAAATTTGGCATCGACGGCTTCGATGGTAGTTCAACAAGGGAAGTTGGCGTCGGCAGCTTGTAGTTGTAGGTTTTCACTTTTTGAGTTTCTCTGGATTTGTTAGCTGATTAAGTGATTTAGGTCAAAGAAACAAAGACTATTATATTATATACAACTACAAGTCTACAAGGCCAGTCTTGACCCTCTTAGGCAGGTGGGCTTAATTGTTAATATTGAACTAATAATTAGGCCAAAAATTAAAACAAAAAGTTGGATTTAGAAATTTGGTTGGGTTGGACTAGCTAGGCATGGACTTAGAAGTTGGAGCATTAATTAAAAAAAATTAGTTAATTTGCTAATTTATTTTGAAAAAATTAAAATAATTTGATTTATCTAATACAAAAAATTTAGAAAGATTCGATTCTTGATCTAGAATCAAGAACCAAACCGAACCCGTAGGTTTTCGACTCAAATACTCGTTCAAATATTAAACTTAAAAAAACGTATAGTTCGGTTCAGACATTTTGCCCAGCCCTAGTCTTTGAATTGATGTATGGCTATATCTTACTAGGAGATTTACAAGAAAAGTTATGTCGGGTTGAGTGTAATTTGCAATATAGGTTGATGCTCCAATTACACTAAAATACAGTAATTCGAGATCAAGAATATCTTCTCCATCTTCAAATGAAGGTGATTGAACTTTTTTTCACATCAAGTGATCAAACAACCATAGGTGATGCCAATTGATGTGTTTTTTTCTCCATAAAAAAGGTTTTAAGACTTTTTCTATATAGGTAGATTGATGAACAAATAATTCTTTTGAGAAATGTTTAATCTGTAATCCAAAACAAAATTTGATTTTTTCCAAAACTTTCATCTCAAATTTATTATTCAAATAATTAATAGTTTGTTGAGCTTTTCAAAAGTTCCAATTAAATTTAAATCATCAACATAAACTGCCACAATTGCAAATTCAGTATTTTTTTTTATAGAAACATATGAACATCCATTGTCATTTTTATAATTGTCTTTCGACAAATATTAAGACAATTATACCATATGCGTCTGGACTGTTTCAATCCATATAATGATCTCTGCAATTTAATTGAGAACATACTTCTCGGCATGTATTGTTTATTTTAAGCACTTTAAGTCCTTCAAGGGCTTTCATATATATGTCACTATCAAATGTACCATACAAATAAGCAATTATTACATCTATAAAGTGCATATCGAACTTTTGTGACACGGTCAAACTAATTAAAAATCTAAAAGTGATGGTATCCATTACGAAATAATATGTTTTCTCATAATCAATTTCTGATCTTTGTGCGACACTTTGAGCTACAATTTGAGTTTCGTATCTTATAATTTCATTATGTTCATTTCTCTTTTGTACTAAAATTTATTGTATCTGTTTCGCGCGGGTTAGTCGCTAACAATTAAAAGGGATTAGACGATTGTGTAAGGGACAAACCTCTTGAGACAAAGTCCCAAAAAGGAGTGTTCTTTTATTGGCGATGACTTTACAACTGGAAATTAAAAACAACGTGCCTCCAAGGGGCGCAATCATACGAGTTACTGAAAGAAAAGTGTTTAAGTCTAAGCTAAGGAAATTAAAATTACATGTTCTCTGTTCGAGAGTTTTTGATTCGGTCCTTTGCTCTATGTTTTTTCTCCCTTTTATACTTCATAGACGATCTCTTTGTGATCAACCTCCTAAAAACCACTTGATCGTCCTATAACTGCCCACTTTCCTCGTAATGGCCAACTTGTCATGAAAACTGCATTTTTTAACCGCTGTCACTACTCTTCGTCGTTCAACCGCTTTCGATTGAATTCCTTGAATCGTGGAACGTGATAGGGCTGCTTTAATAACTGCTTTGATAACGGTACGTTTTGATAACCACAACGCTTTATGTTTGTTAAAACCTTGGGCGACTTGAAGGTTTGGGCGAGAATAGAATAACAGCTCTGGGCGACTGTATGACACTCCATTCGCTCAGATTCTGGGCGACTTGCAAACTTGGACGATGGCGTTACCGCGTTCTTGGGCCTCCCTATTTGGGCCTTCATCTTGATTTGTTTGATTGGGCTTCGTTCTTTGGGCTATATGATTTGGGGATCTTCCAATTGGGCTTCACTCCTTGGGCCGTTCGATTTGGGTTGAATTTTTATGGGTCAACAATTACCCCCCAATATGGCAGAATTAATAATAATTATTAAATTTTGCCATATTCACTTTGTGTTTCCAGCAACATTCGAAATTCGCAAGAATTTCAATCATTATTTTCTTCTATAACTTGAAAAGGTGCGTCTTTTGCAAACCCTTATAACCCTCAAACACGCCATTTCACTGCACCATTAAATCACGCCTCAAATTTTTTGCGTCTCTCTCACGATTTACTGTTCATCTTTTGCTTCCCTGCTACGTAACCCTGAAAAACTTCGTTCCTTCTCAAATGGCTGCTTCACAATCTCAAGCTGGCGACTCCTTTAGTTTTGATGACTTTCAGAAACTTCTGAGCCGCCCATACATAACTCCGAGTTTTCTCGCGCCCGCCGATGTCGAACGTAATGAGTTCTACTTGGGTCCTTTCTTCAACAATGCAGAGGCAGTTGAACAGGCGGCTGTAGGTCAGCTGTTTCCTTGCACTCAAGGCCCTTCTTTTCTAAACTCTCTGCCGCGGGGGCCATTTCGCGAAAGAGGTATTCGCACTTGGCCTAAATCTGATGTAGCTTTCCGTAGGTGGCATGCTCGCCTTGTGGGTCATGGTCCTACTAAGGCATTTTTTGATAGCGCTAGGATTTCTGATTTGTTAGAAATCTTTATTCGCCCCCTACTTTTGATTCAGCACTCTTTTCGATTGCTTTGAATTTTTTATCTTTCGAGTATAACACATTTATTTTCCTTCTTGGCCCCATGTCTATTACCTTAAGGGATGTTGGGGCCCTGGTGAATCTACCACCTTTGGGCGATACCATTTTTCCTGGTATCTTGGTTTCTGGTGGCACCCCAAAGTTTGGTAAAAACTATACCGATTCTTATTCAAGCCTGTAAACCCTTCACAATCATTCGAGCGCTGAGCCTTCCCATACTGAGCGAGTGGCCTTCCTTCTAGTTTGACTTTGTAAATATGTTTTGTGTGTGCCAAGCATAAAGCCCTCCCTGAGTTACTTACCTATAGCGCACGAATTGGCAAGTGGCAGGCCTTTGAATTTATGTTCTTTGTTTTTTGCTGCCCTTTATAGAGGCATGGCCTCTCTTCAAACTCAATTGAAGAATGGTGCATCTCCCACTGGCAGTGGATCTCTTTGGTTCACTCAACTGTGGTTGGGATCCTATTTTCCATTGCTTGGTGCTCCATCAATCTCTCGCTCCTCTGCTAGCTGTTATGGGCTAGCCATGGAGCCCTTGGCTCCTGTAAAAATGTCCAGAAGGGACATTTTTTCATTCTTTTATTCTTTGGATTCAATCCCTTCCTTTTTTCATTTTCCTCCTTTTTTGACTCCAAACTATGTACATCCCCCCTCCTCTATAGACAGCGCGAGCACCTCCCTGCTCAATTGGATCCAGTTTTTAACCGGAAGGGAGCTAATTCATGATATTTTAACTGGGACCAATGCCAAGGCGGGGGTAGAAATTTATGCTCCCCAATTTTTTGCTCGTCAGCTTGGTTTCGGCCAAACTTGGCCTGTTCCTCCTTGCTATTCAAGGAACTTAATTGACCGTTTTTATACCATTAATAAGGCGGAGGCAGAGGCTATAAATGCTCGTAATCTTCTTTTAAACAGCCATTTTTCATTAGCCCCTTCAATTCTAGCCACGCCATTTACCTTCTTTTTGAACAACTCTGGCAGTCAGTGAAGCGTAAATTATTTGCAACTAACGCCAATCGTGCCTTTCATTCATTAGACCAGCCGAGCATTTCTTCCCCTCCTCCTGTTTTAGTCACTCCTTTGTCCATTCAGAGTCCTTCTCCTTCTCGTCGCACTAAACAGTCTGCTCGTCCATCTTCTTCTCTCCCTGCCAAGTCTACTACAGCCAAGAGTGCCCCAAGCCGCAAACGGCCAGCCTCAGCATCTCCCATTCTGCAGGATGATGTTGATGATGCCCCTCTTACCGTCAGGAGGAAAGTAATTAAATTGGTTTACTCACAAGCATATTTTTCCACACTTGAAATTTTTCTGTGTGCTGATGATCTTTTGGACTTCTCAGAAAAGCTCAGCCTCTCCTTCAAAGGCTTTGGCATCGACAGCTCCTGCTCCATCATCCTCCGCTGAGGCTGCTTCATCCAAACCGGTTGATGAGGGGGCTATGCTTAAAGAGACATCTTCAGTCCCAGAGTTCTCATCACAACCCATGGATGAGCCACCTTCTTACCAGGGCATCAACCCCCCAAACATCGAAGGAGAAGGTAATTCAGTCTTTTGATGTCTTACCTTTGCTTGTGCTGTTGGTTTCTGATTTGTTGCTCTTGAGTTTTGCAGATACTCCTATGAGTCCGCCCGTTGTGGCAACATCTTCTCTCTCAGACAAGGGGAAGTCCTCACGAATGGAGGAGTCGTTAGTGGCAAACTTGGCTGAGGACATAGCCATCTTCTACGATTGTTGATGAGGTAGTCTTTGCTTCACTTCTATTTCTACCTTGTTCGTTGTAGTGAGAATCTTTAATATTGGCAATTTTCTTTGCAGGATGCTGACAAAATTGTGTGTTCTATCCAAGACTTGTTCGCTTCCTGGGGGCAAGTCCAGACGTCTCGCCCTACTCCATCTGATCGTCCTGCTGCTTCTTCAGAGGAAGATTTGAAGTTCCTCAAGGAGTCGATATTTGAGTACGTGTCCTTCATGGATATGGACATTGGAAGGGATAGTGCTACCAGACACAAGGATAAACTTGAGCATTTGAATGCGAAGTTGGAGCAAGCACTGACGCTTCCGTCGCTCAATCTTTCTGTCGATTTTAAAGCGACGTTGAAGGTTATTCACTCCGAGGTCCTTTCTTTGCTAGCCAAGAATGCTGAACTAAAGGCCAAAAGTACTCAATATCTTCGAGCCGTAGCTGAGAAAGAGTCTTTGCGTATGGAGATTAACAAGGCTGAGGACGAGTTGAAAGA